TGTTTGTTCACGCTGAGTGCCGGGTTCCCTTTGCTGGGGTCGAGCTGGGTGGCTTAATTCGCCGCTAATTTATTCGTTTTTAACAACATATCCTTGTTTCCCTGCCTGTCATTTCAGGGAAGGCAGGGAGCAGAACCTCCCTAATTTGGTGGAAAGAGGGTAGTAAATAAATAAAGGATTTGAAAGATCCACCTAGAAACCCGTGCGCCCTGGTCCAGCCTCTGGCATCTCTCCTTGTTAGTTTCAGAGGCAATTCCTTCCAGACAGAATCGCTCTCCGTAAACTATGAGCACATCCCTGTAGCGATGGCGCGTGGGGCACAGCGGGGTTGACCGATCCTTCCAGCCTCATAAAGGGGCGCAGTACTTAGACTGTGTTTCCAGACAGACGAGGCCAACCGGGGATGCGCCGGGCACCCCCCCTTCATGGGCCCTGTGGAGACGCCTCCCTTCCTCTCGTCCCACTAACCCCACAGTTAATGGAGTCGGCTTCTTTCAAACCGCATGCGATTTTTTTCTACCCCTGTGATTTCAGAGTTACCATTGGTTCCCTGGTTTCTGATAGGAGCCAAAAAAAAAAAAAAAAACCTAAAAAAACCACAAGATAATAACCAGCCACTTAGATCCTGCCACTTTCCCGTAAACGTGTCAAAAAACCAAGCCGATTTACAATCTGTAATGTGAGAAGCCAATTAATTCCGGTGACCTTTGTAAGCGGGGCCCATAAAGCAGGCCTGACAGTGAGCCAGCGGCTTCAAGGCGCCCCCCCCTTGGCGGAATGAACAAGTTTCAGGGGAGGTTCCCTGCTCCCCGGAGAAATGGCCGGAGCCGAGCTCTGCATGGGCAGGCGGGGCTCACCCGCCCGCCTGTATCGCAGGCTCACGCGGTCCGAGGAAACACAGTGACTGATTGCAGAGGAAACGCAGTTGTACTGGCTCCCCTGCTGCTCCTCGGCAGTGCCGCTTTGGCTACGGAGCAGCCCTGATATTTGGGGGTACCCCGAGTTCCTCCCCCAGAGGCAAGGCTCCAAGGAGGCAGCCCACCTCCCCATTTGATCTCAAACTTGTGCAGGATGCAGCACTGCAGTATCCGCTGAGCATCTCTCAGACCTTTCCCGGGGAAACTTTCCATCCCACGCACACGCTTGCTTAACCCCGACCCAGCCCGTCGTAAAGCTGCAATCGATGGCGCCCGGGAACAGTGGGTTCCCGCCGTAGCCTCGGCACAGCTCACAACATGTTTCGTGGATTAGGGAGATCAGTCCTGTGTCCACTTGAGTCTGAGAAACACCATTAGCCCAGGCCCCCTGGGGCTGCCACCTGGTGGGGGGGGGGTGAGTCTGGTGATCTGATCACCACCCACCAAGGCCAGGGGATGGGCATCTGAGCAGGCCTGGGAGACTGAACCCTAGTCCCCCCACTCCACCCCAGCCCTCCCCATCTCGTGGCTCTATCAGAAATAACAGCTCGCCGGCAAGACAAGCTTCAGAGGACCACCTTTCCAGGGTGTCCCTTGTCACACGCAACAAGCTGAGGAAGGATACTGAGGAGTAGGTGGAATTTTGTCTTTGGTGGTTTTTGTTGTTGCTGTTAATGGCTTAACAGTGTTATAGCTTTTGAGGCCAGCAATGTGGGGACCAATGAAAAAGGTGATCAACTTACCATTCACTCACCATATTTTATTCTTTATTTGTTCCATTTTACACATACTGTTTTCTTTTGCTGTTTTTTTCCCCTTGGCCACAAAATGGGTTTGATGTTTTACTTTCCCCCACCCCCACTGGGAGTTTTTCTGGTGTGAAATTCCTGTGTAATGTGCATTGTGATATGTATTGCAAATGAATTAAGTTGATCAGAAAGGTTTGAAATCTGAGTTAAAAAATGAGACTTCTGTAAGTGAGATGTTATTACTGAATTAGCAGCCCCTGAACATGGTCAGAGAGGAGGTCATGTGTTGGGGGATGCGAAGGAGATCGTGAAAGGGAGCTAATAGTATGTGAAAAAAATGGGTCCCTCCCTCCAGCCTCGGGAAGGGTGCCCCCACAGAATCATGGAAACTACTAGGGAGCCAGCCAATCGGAAACGCTGGGCACGCCCACGGCCCCCTACAATGCCCCCTGGAGACCTGGTTCTCAGGGTGCATCCCTCCTTGATCCCATGAAACTAAAAAGAGCAGATGGACGTGAGGCGGCACATAAGAGCCTGTCAGCGCTCTCAGAGCCCCAGCTCTGAACCTGGCTGTGCAGCGAGTCCAGGGCAGCAGCACCGCGCAGCAACTGGACACGCGTCCCGCACAGCGAGCGGGCCCTCCCGCCTCTCCTCTGATAACGTGCTGTCCGGGGAGACACCCAGGAAGCGGAGCATGAAAACAGTGACCCCTCCGGCCACGGTGGAAATGGAAATCCAATTCTAATACAAAGAAAGCAGGTGGTGCCAGAGGACAGAAAAAGTCACAGGGAGGAATCAAAACGTGTTCTTGAACTTGATGGGAGGGGTAGACAGAGATCTCAACAGATGCGATTCAGAGGCCGTTCCCTACAGGGTTCTCACAGGACACAAACGCTCATTTCAAATCTGAAGAAGTATGGTGCCCACCCGGCCGTCCACTGCATCTGCATCTGCATCCTTGTCAAGTTTGGGTGTAACTTCTTGCTAAGATGATCGTTGATCTTTAGGCTGGGATGAAGGAGGGCTATATTTTTAAGTGTGCAGTTAATAAAGGCACATTACAGAGCTTCGGCATAGGGGAGTGAAGAAAGGGAACATTTTTTCATTCAATAACCAAATTTTAGGATTGAAAGGGACCATGAGTAGCTGGTCTAATACGCTCATTTCACAGGTGAAGAAACGGAGGCCCAGAGGCTTTCACATCCTTGCCCTAAATCACACGGCTTATCCTGGAGGCCTGGGGTAGGACGCCTTGGGGTGCTCCTTATGGCGCCCCACTCAAATTCTGCCAAGTTTTCAAAGATAGTATTTTTTTTAAAGTGTTTGTGTGTGTCAGGGGGAAGCTCATAGACATGTGGAAAAATAAAATAAGTAGGAATTGTCTTTCCAGATAATCAAGCATCTAAAATCAAAAGCAGACACTCAGCCATAGAGGCAGTGACGGCCTTGAGTTGTGTCTGCCTTGTTTAACTCGGGCGTATCGTTAGCTGTGGTTTAATTTAAGAAGGGCAAACCCGTAAGTCACCTGTTGGATACAGTCCTCGCTATTCCATAAAAAGTCATAAACGTTAGAGTTTTGCCCTGTTCTTAAAACCCCTTAGTAATAACACTGCCGTTGTTCCCCTGGAGACCCAGCTGTCGATGAGCCACTGTTTTTCCAGGCGTTCTGATGACTGCCCACATCCCTTTGGTCCCGGGTTTCACTGGCACGTTTTAAGGCTCCTACGGTGCCCTCTTCATGTACAGTGTCCATCCCCGGGTCCCAGCCTCCGTTCGCTGTCCTCGGATAGCGCCCGCCCCTGCCTCTCTGCGGCCCCCCAGCTCACCGGTGCGTTTCCAAAGCGGGAGCAACAGCCTTGCGGCCGCGCCTCCTGCATGTCACAGCCCCATTGTTGCTTTTTTGGCAAATGCCTTTCTGTTTCTAAACGTGCTCCCCCAAGTTTGCTTGAGATAATAGTAATTAACTGACTCAGAAACTTTGGGGAAGGAAGGAGAAACAACAACAGAAAACCAACAATTGTGAACACTCGCTTGGAGCCATACGGTGACCCGCGCTTCTCACGGCGCCCGGCTCGGGAAGGTGCGAGGATGGCCGGCTTTGCTGGGAGACTGGAAAAGGGGGTCCATGAGGTTAGAGGGCCGCCGCGGTCAGGGGTAACACGGGGTGCACGAGGCCCTCTGGCTCCAAGGATGGGCAGAGGGGTGAGCCCGGCCCCCCCACACCGTGTCAGCCTGTGAGTAATCGCTCCCCTTCCCCCGAACTCCCACCCGAGACTCCGTGCCCGCCCTACGTGGGTAGATGCTCACAGGGAGAAATCTGTACTTAATTTAAACCGCAGCTAACGATACGCCAGAGTCAGACGAGACAGCCACAACCGACGTCTCTTCTTGGGGGGAAGCCTGCGTGCGGTGAACCTCTTCACCCATGTGTCTGTCTGATGGCATCAGCACTTGATAAACAGATACTTGACCACGGCCTCGAAAGAAAAAAAATGGATCTCTAAGGTGGCATGAGTAAATTACTCAGGCACGTTCCAGGGGGCTGGGGAATTTTGAACTAAGTCCTCAAAGTCACTTGAAGTACCACCGATAAATAAAGTGTCAACCTAAAAGCAATTTCTCTGGCATCTCCTCCCTGGTTTGTTTGTCTTGGGGAGGAAATGACATACAAGGACCTCAAAATGCCAGTAAATTTAT